AAATTTTACAATTTTATTTTCTTATCGCTTTAAGAATAACCGTTGAATCAACCTGCAAATATGTCCAGTATGCTTCCTGGCCATAATTTACTTCACGCAATAATGGCAGGGTCCTAGCATTATAAAGACATTAAAATTTTTGAAGGAGGACATATGAAGAATGCGCAATGCTCTCTCTGGGACTCGAACACGGATCTCTCGTATACGCGCCCAGTGTGCTACCATTACACCACAAAAGCATGCTGAAAGGAGAGTGAAACTTGGTTTTGAGATGTTTTTATAATTAGAAGTGTATTTTTTGTTCCATTAGCCTTTCACAAAATAAGACAGAGAGACGGGAAAGAAAGATCCTTACCTTCCTGACTACGTAACATTTATCACCTTTAAAGGTTATGATTCTTGCTGGTATATGATGAAAGAATAAATAGCTTTCATCAACGTTATAAAATGGTTTTCAATTGATAACCATCTATTTAAATGGATGAATTACTGAAATAATCTTCTACAGATTCAACTAAAACGTCTCTGAACATTCAGTATCCACATGACATTAGATTTTATAAAGCGATTTCAATTTATGCAACCATCCCATTAAAAAACAAAACAACCTTAATATCATTTGCAAGGCAATTTCTTTTGTGTGTCTGGTCCACCAGCGACCGAGTGATAAAATCGTTGAACACTGGTAGTTCAGTCCGAGATTTGAATCCTGCGAACAGGCTGGCTGAATAGGCGTTATCGAAGTTTTCTCCATACGTAAACGTATGTACGAGTGTTCTGCGAAGGTCTGCGAAAGTTGTACTTAGAAAGTCCTCTGCGAAGGCATTCCTACAGTTAGGCAGATAAACCTCGATGCTTTGCCTTTATCACATAAACCAAAACCAAACCTTTTGTCTGTCCATCAGGACTTGTCTTCTCTTTAAGAATTTGATGCACAGCATTGAGCAAAATTTCAGAAAAGTGTTCTTAAGCTGAGGAAATTGTTTAATCTTGGATACCCATCTTTTTTGAAGCTAATTTTTCGAATTTGTTTTCCTTTCTTCTACTTTTTTGTTAGATAAAAATAACTGATTTCGTTGCTAACGCAGGAATATCTAGCTTCTTTGAAATCTCAACTGTTGGCGTTGCATTTGTATCTAATTCTCTAAAAAATAAGATTTTACTTCCTTGTACGAAGTAAAAAGGAAGTATTGTAATCGTGAAAAGTTTCAGGCAGCATATTTCAACGAAAATATCCATTTTGACTGCTATCGAATGCAATTTAACGATGTTTTTGCGTGATATCTGTGCGTAAGGACAGAATAAAAGACTCATTTCCTCCAAAAAAATTATAAAACTGCTTTAAAATTAATTCTGAAGAGAATTTTTCGTGGCGTCTGTACGAACGTATGTACGTACGTGCGTGCGTACGTACGTACGTATCTCGCATAACTCAAAAACAAGTAGCTTCAGAACGTTGAAATTTTGTATATAGGACTGCTATAACATGTAGATGTGCACCTTGTATTTTGGTTGCAATCGGCGGCACCAAACGTATATAAATACTATATATATCCACTCTGTTACTCGGCACAGTGATCTCAGTTTCTTTACTCTTATATGTTTGTAAATTGTACATTTTTTGCTTTAAAAATGATTGAATTATGTTGTTTTTATCTTCCGGTTAAGGTTTTTATGCCTTTAGTAAATCTGTATGCAATATTTTTAGAATTATCAACAATTTTAAAGTTGTTTAAGTGCCGCTAGCCTTTTTTATGATGGCGGCCATTGATTGTTTACATTTGAAACAGCAGACTAGTGGATTTGTTGCCAATCTAGAGAAACTTAGCTTCGCAACAACAAGGATAACGCCTTCATTTATTATTGCCAATTAAATCATGCTTAATCCTTTCTGGAATTTTTTCGAGGAAATAAGTGTTTAAGATTTACTTCGTAATTTTTAATAAAGATATTTTGAGTTTTTATGTATTTTTGCCTTCTTCGCTAAGTGAAAACTGAATTAATTGAATGAAAAATACTCAATCGTCTGTGAAAAACTGTTTCGTTTTTTTTTTTTTTTTTTTTTTTTTTTTTTGCTTAATTTCTTTTATACATCATTCTAGCTTTATTACAGTATTTGAATATAACATTTGGCAGCGATTAGATAATTCTTTTCTTTAAATGATATAAATTTTGTGCATTATGAGTTATAATATGAACGAAATATAGTACTGTCAAGTGAATCTAGCGCCAGAGTGTAGCTATGATAAACGAATACTAGAGTGAAATTTAAAGAATGCATTTATTCTATTGTGGTTTATGCGTTGTCGGCGAAGTAGATTTAATTCAATCCAATAAGTTTAAATGAAATGCAAGAAAAAATGCGTATAATTTAATATTCAGTACAAGGAAGTCATATGGTGTACACATCAGATTTTTTCTTTTGGCAAAAGGAGCAAATGGCAAAATGAAAGCGAACGAATAGGTTGCTTATCGAATAACTTTTGGAATTAAATAGGTGTCTTTCACTAGGAAACTGGTCTGGCAGCAGATTCTTTTGCCTATTATATCTTCTCAAGAAATATATTAAAATCAACCACTGCTTCATAGTATGCTTGAATTTGCAAGGCAGCAGCACTTCTTAAACTTTTTCATTGATGACCTTTTTCAATCATCGACATTGTTTTCGCAACCCCACACAATTAAATGTAAAATAAAGATATAAAAATGAATATTTTCCGATAACAAATTTACTTCTTTAGCAACAAAGTGCACATAAAAAGTAGTAGTTTTTAAGATTCGTTTCGAGTATACAAAAATGAACGAAAGAAAATCACCTTTGAATGAGATGAATGTGCTTGATTTTGCAGGATAACAAATTAAATCTTGGTGCAATGTTTGCCATTGCTGGACGTAAAGCGTTTTGCAACATTAATATTTGGATTTAATAAGCGTTACAGCCAAACACTTCGTTTCACATACGTAGTATGTGGTGTCGAATGGCAGAAGAAGATTTAATGTCATTTCAGAAATTGTGAGAAATTGATTATAACTCTGATCCAGAATTCTGTCAAGGATTTTTGTGGAAACTCCGGTTTTTAAGCTTCAGTCACTACACAGTTCAACAAATTCCTCATATTCTTGATATAGCAGGGATTTAATCTCCTTAATGCTAAACAAAAATGGATTTTGAAAGGAAGATAACATTTTGAAATCAAAATTAGGAATAAAATGTTTGTAAAACTGGGTTTTTAAAAAATCTGTAATCAGTTGATCAATCAATTGATATTTCGCAATTATTTTATTTTGAATCACAAAATTATTCGGTACATCAACGCATTTCGTATGCAACATTTTCCATCCTATTTTTCCAAACATCGATCTTTTAAGTAAAACTTTAAATTTTATAAATTCAGAATAAATATACTGCTAATTGTAATTCATTCCATGTGTTATAATGGTGTCTTACAAGTTATCAAATATAACAGCTTAATGCCTCTTCATTGTGCCAGGTACTCAGCTTGTAGGAATGTAATGTGAAAAACAAAACTAGTAAAAATTTATATAAAAAAGTAAAATTCAAGATGTAAATCGCATTTCTAATGATAAATATCACATTTCATACAACTCACAATTGATCGCACCCCTCATGCATAATTTAATTTACGGAATGCGATATACTTTCCGTATAATATTAAAATATCTCTATCATAAATTTGAATAGTATATTTTTCTATCAAATGCGGTTTGAATGTGGGTTTTTCAGCTTATCTATTGTTCTAAAAGTATGTTCGAATTTTTTCAAACTAACTTCAAAAAATATTTAAATTTTAATTCGTGATAAATGACTCCGATATCATTTAGATTTGTCTTCTTTTATTTTACTTTAATTAAGAGAACGTTATTGTTAATCGGTAAATGAATTATAAAAAATTTAGTCTTAATTTAAATACATCTTGCACACATTTTTTATTACGTAAAATTCCTTACAACAAACGTGTATTATTTAATTTCATCATTGAAATTTTCAGGATTAGGATACGTAACTTTATAAAAAATTTGGGTTTGAATCTATAATATAATCAGATGAGAAACTGTAAGAATTATACGCATAATTTCCTCATTAAAGACAACAAATCATGACGTTTTTCAAGTTAACAAAGCTTAATTTAGTTCAATATTTGTATATTCAACACAATGACTTAGTTCAAATTTATTGTAATTATTTGCAATTTATCCAATCTTTTTTCCTAAATTCTTCTTTCGTCATTTATGCGGAGTTCACTAGGAGTTCCATAATTATACAGAAAACTAAGAAATTTGCTTTCTTAGTGTTACTTAAAAAACAACCAGTAAAATTGTTCCATGGTGTGTTTGTGTGTGTGTGTATGTATAACAACATCAAATTTTAATTTAGAAGTTAAACAACAAAAATCAGCGTTATATTTTCAAATTTTCGCAGGACTAGTTTAGATGGTTTTACCGAACCATCATCCTCAGCTGCAAAAGCGCAAATGAACGAAATATGATATAATGATTAGATAAGATAAGAAAGCCTGGACAGAAGATAAGCTACTGGCGCCATCTGTTGATCAAACCAGAACTAAAACGTAATTGCCTTCAGCCTTTAAAGAAATTACGTTTTAGTTCTGGTTTCATCAACAGATGGTACCAGTAGCTTATCTCCTGTCCAGTCCTTCTTATCTTATCTTATCTAATCATTATATCCTATCTCGTTCATTTGCGCTTTTGCAGCTGAAGATGATGGTTCGGTGAAACAGTCGGAACTAGTCCTGTGAAAATTTGAAAATATAACACTGATTTCTGTTGTTTAACTTCTAAATTAATATTTGTTCGGCCTGTTATTGTATCTTAGCATCAAATTTGTTAGATCGGTATCTAGATGTCAGTGTCAATACATTTCGATTACAAGAAACATGATTTTAAGAATTATTCAAATAATTCTTTAGCTGTATTTAAATAAGTATAAAAATCTGTTTAAATACTTGCTTTATTTTTAGTTCCATCAGCACCACAGAACTTACGAGTTTCCGATGTAACAAATACGAGCATACATATCGAATGGGATGAGCCTCAGCCCTCTGTAGGAGACATTCTGAATTATACGGTGGAATGGACCAACTTCGAAATAAGTATAACCAGCCTAGGTAATGCATCAGGGTCTCCATATGATATAAAACATTTAGTGCCTTATTCAAAGTATAGTGTACGAGTTCAAGCGGTGACTAAAGCAGGTCCCGGAAATTGGTCTGAAAGTAAAACATTTTGTACAGCAGAAGGGGGTAAGTCACTTCAGCTATAATTATTTACTTAATATTTTAACTACAATTGCTTCCTTGATATGTTATCCTGTGGTAAAAGTACTGAAAATAGTGACATGGAAACCCACAAAAAGCTTCATATTCTAGTTTGAGTGTGAACAGGATTATCTGAAGACGGAAAATAACTTAGTTTTTCTTTTTCTGGCCATGGAAGAGGATGCTTTGGCGGAGAATTTTCTTAGGAGCACTTGCCCGCATTTGTGTTATATGTCAAGAAATTCTGGGTAAAGTTCCTTCCACTGTCAGGAACAGAAACTGCGTAACAAAGGGTGTTTCCTGACTTGAACGTTTCGGTACTTGTCGGCATCAGATTAGAAGGAAAACTGTAAATTTGTTTAAGAGTAGGTTTTTATTAAATTATAAAAATGAAACTAAAAGATTCTCCAAATTGCAACATTATCCATGATGATTTTATCAAACTAAAGAGTTTATTAGAAGCTTGATAACAGGTCGCCAGTTGTTTAATGCTACGTATTGATGCAGAAGGTCAAGTGATGCAGAAACTGAGGATCAAATAGTAGCAAATAGAAGATGGTTAATTGAATCACCAGATTTAGACTGGAGAACAAAGCTGAAAGTCATGAATAGAAACTGTATTTAACTACAGTTATATAAAAAATTATTTATAGACTAAGCTCAACTTTTTTATATTATGGTTAAGGTTGCCATATTCCGAATGCTCGTGTAATTTTCTGAGTCGTATTAGCATCCTAATTCACTATTTATTGAGTTGCTTGCAGTGAGTTACAGGTAGGTTATCCTCAATCTAGAGTATTATAAGGAAAAAATATATATAGTAAGAAACTTTTATGGATTAAGTGCAGTTTCCTCACACTATGTGTGAAAATAATTTACACACATTAATCTTGGAAATTGATTCTAAACAAGTGCTGATTCAAATTGTTCTCGTTCTTGTCTGAACAAAGAACAATGTTAAGCAACAGGCATTTAGTGATACTGAGAATTATTTTCTTATAACTAGTTAATAATTAAGAAACAATAACACGCCGAACAAATATTAATTTAGAAGTCAAACAACAAAAATCAGCATCTGTGAAAATATAATGCTGTTTTTAGTTGTTTGACTTCTAAATTAACTATTTAATAGTTATTAACTAGTATTGTTTAATATATTGCTGAGAATTTACGTGCTTAACAAGCCAAATTCTTCAGTTACTGAGCAGTGGCGCAGCTAGCGTTGGGGAAGGGGGACCATCCGTCCCCGGGCGCAGGATCCAGGGGGCGCCAAATTGATGATACACATTTCAGAATGGAATGATTTCCATTCTTGGAACACAGAAAGGGTCGCAAAATCTTTAGGTGTCCCCGGGCGCTTAAAACCTTAGCTACGCCTCTGTTACTGAGAATTATTTTTGGTAAATGTAATGTATTTTATCTGTCATAAGCAATAGCTTTCAAGTTACAGCAAGCAGGCTATTAAGCCGTTCTCCCATTCCAAGGTTCTTGAAGGAATATAGTGTGGAAAATAATTGCACTAAATGATTAATACACAAAAGCTCGTAAAATGTATTTCTAATGGCAAAATAACTTGTAACTGATTGCTATCCTCTTGAGGTATGGTTTAAAGTACAGAATAACATATGGTTTCCTAACTGTACTAAAATATAATTTCTTCTCAGTTGAACTCCGTGTTTTTCTTCCAAAAGCAATATGAATTAACTCTTTTTACCTTATTACTTGTTTCAAAATTACATTCGAATATTTGTTAGGCTAATTCCAAAAATTACTTTTTAGGGAAACATTTAACTTTCGTTATTGTTAAATGACGCTTGAATAGTTCTTTTAAGATTTGCCCTCTTTTATTCTACATTAATTAACAGAACATTATTATTAATCGTTAACTGAATTATCTCCGATTTAGTCTCACTTTAATTAAATACTCGCACCCACTTTTATCAAGGTTTAACTGATTTGACATGCACTATTTAACTTTGTTAGATTCTTATGTTAATTGACCAGTTATTGTGATTTTGATTTGTACTATAACTTCTTCTTTCCCTATTCCTCACCAGAATGTAAATTAGAGTTATAAGCTGAGATTTCTGAGAAAGAGTTCGTGTCACTCGCACCGCCCTTTTAGAAACTCTATCTAAAAGGGATTATTCCGGCTTTTGCATTCTTTCGCTACGATACTTTAAACTTACGCTATGGTAAATTAATTGAGCCAGATTTTAGTTAATTTACTTGACTGTCTAGTCTTAGACTACTATTTATTTGAATGTTATTTCTTAATTTTAGAGCGACACGAGAAGTGATTTGTCTATAGTATAAATCGTTCCTTTTATGTTAAGTTCAAAATATAAATAAAAATGTTATTTAAACCTTTTCATGACTTCGTTATAATATTTCAGACTTAGCGATAACTCGCTAACTTCTCTAGCAGGGTTGCAGGTGTAGAGATCACATAAAGGTATGCTCGCTTGGTGCTGCTTCGTATTTAGTTGCTTGCTAGCGTCACCTTGTATTAGCACCAATGAGTAGTGCAGCAGTTCACGAGTGTCGCATGCCCTTCAAGACGGCCATAAGATTCAATCCTCGGTCTGCTAACAGACCCAGGATTGGATTTGAATATCAGAATTTGTCACACAGGAGCCCTTCTGCTATAGCGGTATGATATTCGCTATAAGTATTAGTATATAAGTAAAAGTAGTTATTTACTTTTACTTATAGCGGTATGATATTGCCATATAAAAGATTCAGGATCGAATCCTGTAGTCATTATTACCTTGAAGAACATTCGAAACTCGTGCGCTGCTTCACTTCTCATTGGTGCTAATAGATGGCGGCACGAACAAGCAACAGTATATCAAGCAGTACCAAGCGAGCGCGAGCTTACCACCCAGTAATCCCTACAACGGGGCTGTGATGCGATGCAAGAGACCGCATGGCCTTGGGGACAGAGTCCATTTCATGGGAGTGAAATCCACTGCCTTGTCATAAAAGGGCTTTTCCGATTCTACCCATACATGTCGCCACGAACGAAACCTCCACTAAAACACCAAAGCGTTGAGCAACAGAGACATATATAAATCAACTCGGGGCTACCGAAACTTAACTTTAGGTCCTAGCTCAATAGCAACCTTACAACTTAATCACTGAAGTTTCTCAGTGTCGATATATGCAACTGTATTAAAAATCACGGTTGAAAGTTTTATTTATTGAGTGGAGAAACTGTTAAATTTACACGTATGATTTCTTCATTATGGAAAAGTAAAGTCATGAGATGTTTCAATTTAATAGAACTTCTTGGAATATAAATTTCACTAAATATGTATTCATAATTTTTAATGCAATTTCATTGTTATTATTTGTCATTTATCCAAATTTTGTTCATAAATTATAGTTTTCAGCATTAATATGCATTTTGTTAGATATTTTAGGAAGAATTCGAAGTCTAAAACCTAGCATTTCGTTAGATCGGTATCTGGATGTTTGTGTCAATATATATTTGTTACAAGAAAAATGATTATAACAATTATTATAAGAAAATATTTTTAGCTGCATTTAGATACATATACGCCCGTTTAAATATTTGCTTTTCTTTTAGTGCCTTCAGCACCACGGAATTTAAAAATTTCCAATGTAACAAATACAAGCACACATATCGAATGGGATGAGCCTCAGTCTTCTGTAGGAGACATTCTGAGTTACACGGTGGAATGGACCAATGTCGAAAATGGTAACAGCAGCCGAGATAATGCATCAGAGTCTCCCTATCACATAAAACAGTTAGTGCCTTATTCAAACTATAGTGTACGAGTTCAAGCTGTGACTAAAGCAGGTCCTGGAAATTGGTCTGAAGTTCAAACATTTCGCACAGCAGAAGGGGGTAAGATATTTAAGCTATAATTATATACTTAATGATTTGCAATTTATTGCTTAATATTTTATTCTGTTGAAAACGTACTGAAAACAATGAGATTATTTAAAGCTTCATATTAAATTTGACAGTGGATTGCATTATTTGTGAACACGGAGAATTTTCTGTGGAAAACATTGTCTATGTAAATAACACAAAAAATTCTAATTACACATGAAAAAAATCCTAGTTAAGTTCTTTCCGTTATCAGAAATATGAACCAGGATGAACAGCTAGTGCATTTTTCCTGAGTCCGCAGATTTAATTTTGGTATCAAATCTGGGCATAATGCACTATGTGTGTTTATTATACAGGCATTTACCTTTTCACTTTCTTATTAAATTTAATTGTTCGCCAATTACATAAAAAATTAAAATCATGCATAATTAGACTTCATTCTTAAAATTAAAATAACATTAAATTCGATAAAACTTTTTGTATTTCGATGATGGCATTAACGAGGCATTAAATATCAGATGTGCATTTATTACACAGTAGTTCACAAAAAATATATAATTTACCAATATATCAAATGAAAAATTTTGAAATAGTAAACAAATATTTCATTTAATAATTACCAATTATTTAAAGATAATTCATATCTGATAAAATAATTCTTGATATGTTGGATCATAGTTTTATACAAATGTGAAGCTATCTAAATTTGATTTTAATATACATTTTGCTCTTATTTTTATCAACATTTCAAATGCAAAATTTTCATATCCGTTGTGTGCAGAAGAGATGTAAAGAAAGTATTTTGTCCAGTTAGAATTTTTAGTAATTGGACCATTAAATATTATTTTATTTTGAAAATTATATGCATGTTTCTTTTTTAATTTAAAGGCAATTTGAAACTTTAACGAAAATAATTATTTTCAAAAAAATTGGTCATGGTATTGATAATTTGTTTCAAATATGACTAAGTATTTCATTTTATTGTACTCGAATTAATTTGTTTCAGCCTGTTTCCATTTAAATAAATAGATATCATTTTAATAATTTGCTTGGTAAAGAAAGGCTTTCTTAAAAAATTTCGCTTAGGAACCTTATTTCTATTGTGTAGTTTTTAAGACTACCAGAAAGAAATTGGAGATGAATCTTTAAGCAGAAATGTATTTTAGTTTCAGGGATTACTCTGATGTAATCAAGTGATATCTAACACTCTGTCATTATTAATCGCTCGGCATCAGAAACCGTCGATTCAGTAAACAAACTAATTTCCTCGAGATGGCGCCACTACTTGCGATTTTCTGAATTTCATGTCGACTTAAAAATCTGGAACTAGAGCGGAAAAAATCGCAACCGTTGTATACAGTCAAATTTGATTTTAAACATTGAATTTAGATGAGAATTTGAGATAATTGTCATTAAATACTGTTAGGAATTTTTGAAGTGATGTAGGTTAAATAAAAAGAGGTAGGTGAAAAGATGTTAATCTTGTATCATCCCGCCATATTATTTTCCCCTTTCTTACAGCCAATAATAAATATATTTCTGCGCTCTAATTGGGCTTCTCGTGGTCGCAATTTGGATTATCTCTTAATGAGGTAAGAAACTTTGATTCTGTTTGTTGTAATATTTTCTTTTCGCCAATTAACTGCATTTAGATGACAAACAGATGAACTGCATTTTCTTTCAACATTTGATTATGAGTGCATGTTTACTTCATCCGAACGCATAAAACATATCGAGAGAAGCTATTAAGAATAAAAATAAAAGAAAACATAAAAGGAATTTTGTCATAAATTACGACTTGATAACTGGAAAAAGCCAAGGCTCGCGTTGGAAAGCGAAACAAAACTAGTAAAGTGGTCAGCACATTTGAAAACAGAAACAAAAATGGCTACTAGCTGCGAGAATAAGTACTCAGTTGCTACGTTAAAAGAACTATCATCTACGGAAATACAAATTAGAAATGATTCTGAAAACGGATCATGTTTGGGATTTATCGTAAATGATACACCAAAAGAAGTCACCGCTGAGTGCATAAAACGAGATGAAGAAACACAAACTACAATAAGAGTACTTGTAGCCTTTCCCTTCGCATCCTGTCCTCCGGACACACTCATGCATGTGCTATACCTGCAATGTACTTATTAATTCATGACAGCCGGTATACAGCTTGCTATCTGCAAGGTACACACGGCAATGGTGGGAAAAGGAAAGGAAGTACTTGTAGAAGACAACCGAATCTTAATATAAAAGATAAAACAACAGCTAAAGAAATATGAAAAATTAAAGAAAATTCACACACACACATACCAAAAAAAAAAAAAAAAAAAGTCTCTTCAGTAAACTTTATCTTCTCAGAAAGGTATATACGTTAAAAGAAGAAAACGAATATAAGCTTGAAGGACACATAAACAAAACGCTCGAGATCGAAGACTAACTGTGAGGAATCGGTGAAGAAATGAAAAAAAATCAAACTGTAGCCCTCTTTACTAAGCGACTTGCCAAAAAGGCTGCGAAAATCTTATTACAGCTTAAGAATAGAACTGAGCTTTATATTAAAATGATATTGTTTGATGCAGAAGAAAAGAAGGTATGCAAATAGAAGGGACAGCTGGCTTTCAAAACGAATTTCAACGCAAAATTCAAACATTTCAGACATTATTAAACATTATTTAAATCACATTTATTTGTTGAGCTAGCGGTGGCTCTTAAGAAATGTACCGCCAGTGGTTTCCTTCATTGCACTCTACTTTAAGCAATTAAGCAAGTAGAAGGGCAAAACCCCGTTTGGCAACCCCGTAAGCAAAGGGGCCTCCTCGCCGCCTGCTCTGGCTAATTCAGTTTGAATTAGCAGACACCTTTGCACAAATCATTTTAATTACAATTTATAATATCTAGAACAGCGGTCATTTCGCATGACCGGCGAGTTTTTTAGTACTGTATAAAAGTATAAATAATGTTAATAAAATATCAGAATTTTTCTAACAGTAAGCCTAGCAATAGTTTGAATCACAAATGTTTGAGTTTTTATATTACTTTTTCACTTCGCATCACGGATATTTGACACTACTTGTAATAAACAATATTAGAATTGCATTGCAGTGTTTAAATGCTTGCCAGTCTTTTACAGCATCAATAGTAAAAGATATTTCATGGAGAGTTGATGTAAGTTGAAATGGTTAGTCATGTTGCATATGTATTAAGCCTGATCCTAATATTAGAAATCTTTTGAGAATAGCAAAAATATGTTCGGAGTTCAGCTGATCATGGCATGCCAATCTACACTTGAATTTAATTCAGTGCTAAAATATACACTGGTGTGCAAAAATTAAGGACGAAGTCGAAAAATTAGCATATCAGCTGAACGAAGAGGCAGAACGGACAGAAAGACCAATCAGGAGATTAAGTAAGGTGATGTACGGTAGCACATGCGCAGATATGCAGGTAGACGTAATGGGGGAGTATCTGAGTAGTATAAAGCATGTTGTCGGTGTAAGATCAGTATTTCTGGCAAAGAGATTGCACTCCGTATAGCAGTTAAAATCACACCGAGTTGCTGCCTCAGCGAGAAATGGCGAATAATCTATCTGTTAGACGACATCTGGATGCTTTTACCCGAGGTCGAATCATTGGGAAGTTGGAGGAAGGCCGCAGTGTGACAAGTGTGGCTGCAGAGTTCGGAATTGCTCACAGCATCGTTTCACGAATTTGGAGACAATTTTAAACTACAGGAACAGCTATCCGGGGGTTTAGTAGTGGTCGTCCACGAGGAACCACACCCGCAGATGACCGGTATGTTGCCTTACAGGCCAGAAGAAACAGGCGGCAGACAGCGGGAGAAATCGCTAGACACACGACACAGGCGACTGCACGACCGATATCGCGTTTTACCGTGGCCAGAAGACTGCACGGTGGTGGTCTGTTTGCACGACGCCCTGTACGGTGTGTACCTCTAACGCCTGCCCATCGGAGAAGGCGTTCTCTGTGGTGCCGGGAACACCGGAATTGGAGAGACAATGAATGGGGACGAGTACTCTTTACAGATGAGAGCAGATTCAGTCTGAGTAGCGATTCTCATCGCCTACTCATCTGGAGAGAGCGGGGAAGCCGCAATCATCCCTCGAACATCATTGAAAGGGACAGGTATGGAGGTGGCGGTGTTCTCGTTTGGGGAGGCATCATGCTTGGTAGTCGTATAGACCTTCACACCTTCGACGCAGGTTCAGTCAACGGGACCCGTTATTGTAACGAGATTCTTCTTCCATATGTGCGTCTTTTTAGAGGCGCTATGGGTCCGCAGTTCCTTTTCATCGACGACAATGCACCATGTCATCGCACAGTAGCTGCCGAACAGCTCTTAGAGAGTGAAGATATTGAACGTATGGATTGGCCGGCACGATCTCCGGATCTCAATCCCATCGAGCATGTATGGGATTTTCTAGGCAGACGCTTGGCAGCTCGTACCTTACCACCAGTAACGATTCCGGAACTTCGATTGGCGCTGCAAGACGAATGGGCAGCAATGCCTCAACAACTCATTGACACCCTCATTCTCAGCATGGGCAGACGCTGTTGTAATGCCCATAACCCGAGAAGGAGAAGGAAAAGCCTAGCGAGCGGAATAATTAGTCCGACGGAGCAGGTGGCTCGTTGGACGGAAGTAGAAAGGACGAACAAGAAGACGAGGGGGGCGAAGAGGACTTTGCACCCTGGTTGTCGGACGGGACGGTCGGAGTTTTTTTGGGCGGATGACAATCGCCATTTTCTTTCGTCATGGAGAGATTGTTTTTCTCATCCGGCGGAGACCATGCCGGACTTACCTATTCATGCTTGTACATATAATGTATAATAATCAAGAATTGTTTACTTATTAAAGTTTTTTGTTAAACAAACAAAAAATGGGTGTCTATGCGTCGATCGACGGTGACATGTGTGAAGCAACTGAACCCTACGCTACGGTTTAACACAACGATGCTTATCTGTCTCGGCACGACTACCACAACCAACTACAATGG